CCAGCAGCTCGCAGACGACGACGTCGCCGCGGTCAGCGCCCTGCCCGCACCCCCACACCCCCACACCCCCACACCACTGCTCCATCATTTACTTAAATAAATGTTTTGTCATCATTCCAGGCTCGCAAGGACCAAGCCAACATACAAAAGGATATTCAAAGCATACAGAAACAGATCTCCAGCTTAGAATCTAAAATAGAGAGCAAACGCAGCGACCGACACAATATTTTACGCCAGTGTAAGGTGAGAACACAAAAAAATATTAACATATGACACCTTGCTCGAAAGGCCAACATTATCTAAATTATGAATCTGATATACAATGTTATGGTTAATTTCAGATTGACGATATAATAATACCGTTGCTGGAGGGCAGCCTGGACGACACCGCGGACACGGAGTCGGAGCAGTCGTCGCTGTCCACCACGCAGCAGTACCGCCGCGACTCCAGGTCTCCTCCATACTGCCATTAAATTATATTAACTAACATTAAATGATGCTAAACCGCGTGTATGTGTGTGCGGCGCAGGATCCGCGTGGACTACAGCAGTCTGTCGGAGGCGCTGCAGGAGCTGGAGGAGGCGGACGAGGTGAAGCGCAAGGCGGACAAGCTGCAGAAGAACATCAACACGCTGCAGAACACCGTCGACAAGATACAGGCGCCCAACATGCGGGTACTTCTATATTAGCACACGCAATACAAATCATACATTTATTTTAAATGTTACACTCATATTTTAACATCCCAGGCGATGCAAAAATTGAACGAAGTCCGTGAGAAGGTGAACGCAACCAACGAGGCGTTTGTCGCAGCAAGGAAGCGCGCGCACAAAGCCAAGCTCGCCTTCGAGAAGGTAATATACTTATATAAGCAGCTATTGCAGTAGAAATGCCCCGCTCTGTAATATTTTTATAATCAACTGTGCTACAGGTGAAGAAGGAGCGCCACGACAAGTTCATGGACTGCTTCGAGCACGTCGCCAACGAGATAGACGCTATATACAAGGTGACTTCTAATTCAATAATAAACCCGTAAAACTTTCGGTTTATTTTAAGTTACCGACATAACGGAGAAGTGTATGTTATAGTAATATTGTGTTTTGTGTCAGGCGCTGGCGATGAACCAGTCGGCGCAGGCGTTCCTCGGCCCCGAGAACCCCGAGGAGCCGTACCTGGACGGCATCAACTACAACTGCGTGGCGCCCGGCAAGCGCTTCCAGCCCATGTCCAACCTCTCCGGCGGCGAGAAGACCGTCGCCGCGCTCGCGCTGCTCTTCGCCATACACAGGTACACACACACACACACTGGTACTATTACTACCAGCGGAAAACGTATTTCATATAGGTATTTGCTTTAATGTGCGACTTCTGCATGGAAGTGATAAATATAAAGTTGTGGAGATATGTAGTATCTGTAATCTCAAAAGGTAATTGGAATATGTGTATAATTGTATGTTGTGTAGCTACCAGCCGGCGCCGTTCTTCCTGCTGGACGAGATCGACGCGGCGCTGGACAACACCAACATCGGCAAAGTGGCCTCCTACATCCGCTCCAAGAAGGGCAGCCTCCAGACCATCGTCATCTCGCTCAAGGAGGAGTTCTACGGCTGCGCTGACGCGCTCATCGGCATCTGCTCCGAGGTGAGACACACCCTCTTCGTACCGCACCTTCCCTTCCATCAACTAGGGGCGTTCATAATAATTTGTAATGTTGCCCTAGCTATTTTTTTATGTTATAAAGCGTAAATACACTTTTAGTGAAAACCCTACATTTACTATAATCTACGCTATTAAATTAAGAGGATGAATACATTGTAAAAAGTTGCTCTACGAGATAGGGATAAAATAAACAAATAGTCAATACCAGAAAAAAAACAAGGGTGCTATGGTTCAAAATTCTTAGCCAATAGAAAAAGCTTTGTCATTTGTATTTTGAAATTTGGCTCATAAAATAGTTGTATTTATTAACTTGGAAGTTATTGCAGTATTTTTTTGTAACTTAGTCGTAACATCTATGTGAGTGTGTGGTATGTGTTGCAGCCGGCAGACTGCCTCGTCAGCGACGTGTACACGCTGAGTCTGGAGCACTACCAGCTGTAAGGATATTCAGCACACAGACTGCGTGCCGCCTGACAACTCTATGATAATTTTATGACATTTTAACTAAAATATAATTAATTTGTAAGTTCATGCGTTTGTTTCATTTATGTACCTGGCAGTTGACCAGCTCATCTCAGATACACTTTACTTTTAAATAAACTAGAATGAGGTATGCACCCAGGCATTCAAAAAGTATATCACAGAGTACTTTGTAACATACTGAAATAGAGACCAATCTTCGGCCTAAAATTGGGTAACACGAAGAAAAGCGCCATCTGTATTTCA